CAGCAGGAGAGATAAAAAAGCCACCTGCCTGCAAAAAGGTGATTAGGGCACTCTCTTGGAAGGCAATTATACCTTCTGGAACAGTTTACCAAACCACAGTTTTTTAAGGAGTTGAATTCTCAGAATTTTCATGCTTTTGATCTATGTAGAAGGTAGTAAAATGCAGCCAAGATAAGCAACGTAAGCAGGGAAGATGTACCTTTCCTTGGGATGCGGGAAGGAAAATAGGAAACTGGTCCTGGAGGACCGATGTCACCTGGTTCCCCCTGTTAACAGAAGTTGAAGTATCACATCCAAGTGCATTATTCTAGAGAATTTATTTTAAAATGGAAATGTATGCCCATGAAACACAAAGAAACAGATTTTCAAAAGCACTGACGTGACTTTTAAGAAATCTCAGAGATTTCAAGTTAACAAACCACATAACCAGTTCTACAATGATGACAAACACAATTGTTATTACATGACAGAAAAGAAAAGAAAGCAAAATGACAACTGTTTTATTGCTTCTAGCAAATGAAAGTAAAGCAGTACCTTGCTTCCCCTAGGACCATAGCCACCTGGCGGACCATCAAATCCTGGAAAACCCTGTAAGACACATAAAAATTATTGACTTTTCCTTTATCTGGGAGAGAATAAAATTATTTGGTCTGTAGCAGCTGTCTTTCTCCGATGTTTGTGCAAAAACTATGCCACAGAGCTGAGCAGTTTGTCTCCCTGAGGTGTAATTCAGGTAATACCATTAAGTTTCCTTGTGTTTGGTGTTCCGTCTCTTAGACCAAGCCTAACTCCTGTCAAAGGCCAGAGGGACCTGCTGTGGTGCAGGCTGTTGCCCCTGGCAGTGGTGCAGATGGAAGGAGCGCCTACACTCGCACTATCCCCTTGTAGGATGCAGGATGGTGAGGGAGAAAGGGGATCCCCACCATGCCAGGAGACCCTGAGACAAATGAGCCAAGCAGCCAGAAGACACCAACCTGCTGCAAGAGACGAAATGAGCCTGAATCATTAGGAGTGGATATATTTGCACTGAAATGCAAACAGTGCCCAGTGAAATAGCACTGAAGTGCACAGGTTTTTTTTGCTGTTTTCCAGGTGGCTGCAGCCCATTTGGCCAAAGAGGGGTTCCCTGCCTGAATTAGAAGAACTCAGGACCAGCCCTGAAGGCGCCTTCATCCACATCTCCCCTGGGCACGCCGTATCCCAGGGAAAATTTTCCATCCCTACCTCAGAAAATAATATAATATTTCAAATTCTGTCCACTGCATTATTTTGAAAGGTTTGAAATCCAAAGCACGTGGATTAAAACATGTGTGGTAAAACACGGTACTTCCTATGACATGAGAGCGTATTTCAGCTGCTGGGGGTGCACAGAGCAAAGTGTTGATTTCAGTGATGCCGACAGAGAAGAGATGACCTCTTCTGTGTGCTTTACTCAGCTCTTTGACAACTTTTGTTCTCTACAGAAAACATTCACATGTACTCTGGAAAAAGACAAGTGTTAAAAAGTTGAGCTTTTAGTAGAAAAAAGTGGCCAGATCCTCAACTGAGATCAATTAACACAGTTGCACTGAAACCAGTAGATTTGTATCATTCACACTAGTTAGATTATTAGCCAGCCTTTTAAAAATTCAGTGTCTCCTGAGTTTCACAGTGGGGACAACTCCTATGCAGAACTTGAATGTTAATAACCTGCTCTGTAGGTCACATAGTTTTGAAGCACTACAAATACCACTGCTCTCAGCAAGATGCCACAAACTGAATTGCACACTTCAGAGACCTTTCCATGATGGCAACTGTACATCACACCATCAGAAAAGGAGCCTCTTGAGTATCAGGTGTAAAATCTCTTTACACTAGGTGGAGCTGGTGGTTTAAAAGTGAAGCCAGCTACTTAAGCCAATGTGTGCAAGCAGGACATAACCTATGCTTCTCTCTTTCCTAAGAATCAGATCACTCAAAAAACAACAAAAAGGGGGTCATCGTGAAGAGCACATCGAGTAGTTTGTTCCCTCTCATACACAGGTTACACAATGACACTCCTTCCAAACCAGTGTACATTCCACTAAAATTGTTGCCAAGATTCACTGTCATTAAGGGGAAGACACTGACTACTGACTGGAGCATGAAGCCATGTTAACTTTTATCATTTGGCTTTAGTGGGTTTTGCATCAGCCTCTCCACTTATGTATTACTGATAGCATATTCCCTTCCACACCACCAGTTTTTGTGACCGAATAGCTGGGCAAATGCTATTTTCCATATGCATGTGTTTTCATGTCCCATGTGTTTCATGTCATTATTGTTATGCCTTGGTGGCAGGACAAATCCTTAAAAAACTAAGGATGGAGAAGCACGGAAAAGTCAAGCATCCCACAGTTATTTGGATACCTCATGGAAGTGATTTCTAATGCTTACTGAAGAAGCCTTTTTCTGAGCACAAACAGAAAGTATGAGTTCTCCTCTGTCTGACAGAATGCTATTTTAAATATTTGGGTGTGTTTCCATGGGGACTGGTATATTTATCAGTTTCCTTTTCTTCTTCTTTTGTGATATTCAAGATAACCATACATCTCAACCACATGTGCAGAAAGCTATTAAAAACCCCAAAGTTTCTGCATGTAGGAAGAAATTATAGAAATCATGGTCACAGTAATGGGAAAACTGAAAATCACACCTTCTCATAGTGCTCTTAAAACATGCTCATGTTTTAAGCAAAACAGACTTGCATTATAGAGCTGTCTTTTTTTCCACTGATGAGAGAACTAACTGACCCAAAATTACAATGATGGATGAATCCAGATGATATCTGTTAGACTACAGATGGTGTAATTACAGGCAGAATTTGTCCTCTACAGTTTACTTTTCAAAGAGATTGCATACAACAGCCTTGTATTAAATACTTACTCTTTCTCCACTGAGTCCTGGAAAACCATTGATGCCAGGCAGTCCCTATGAAGGCACAATAAAATTAGCAAAATAAAGTGACATCCTAACATCCTAATGCTTAAGAACCATTATTATCGCTTAGATAAAATAAATCTGACAGCTTGAAACTCTAACAGTCAGAGTTCAGATACTTTTTCAATGAGATTCATGCACGGTGCAAACAGAACAGGTCTGAAATCTACTCTGGTATTTCATTTTTATCTCTTATTCATTATAAATCATTGTAAATTGACCATGAAGATTTTAAAGATGGCTGAGATTTTTTTAAATATATGCTGAATACTGTTCTCACTCTGTTTAAGCACTTTAGAAATACTGGCCCCAAAAAAGCATCCATAGATGCTACAAGGTAGTAGTATTTAAATTAGCTTTTTTCCTGGGTTAAGTAACTGGAGTCAAACTCATGCTTGTTAACCATGGTCTGAAAGAGACCTAAGATGGGAACAGTGAAATATAGTCTGTGCTGAGGACCAGGAGAGTAGCTGTGGTTCGGAGCACAGCTTTAGGTATGAGATGCACAAGGCTTCCCAATTATGGTATGGGCACATCTGTGAGTCCTGGAGGGCCCTCCTCCCGCTACCATTTCAAAATGGCCTTTTTGCTTTCCAGTCTCAGGCAGTTCAAAGCTGGCCGTACCCTGGCGGGCTGAAGAACTGTAATTTCTACAATTTGTTAATCTGTGTTTTGTTCCTGAAGGTAAACTCTCAGCTTGGATTTGCACATTCAGCTGGGTGAATTTTACCTTTAATGAGTGACTCACCCTTTGTCCTGGGAAGCCCATCACCCCTTCTTCACCTTTTTCAGGAGCGTAGAGAAGTACACCCTAGGAAAAATTACAAGTCAGTTCAATATATTTCTTCATTATGTGCAAAAAAATTGTGACACTTTTGTAGAAGCTAAACAGGAAGAAAACATCATTGTAACACATGGAGGATCTAATAATAGCTGCATGTGAAAGAACTGTTGTCCTTAATTAAGTGTAATGTGCTTGATCCATTACAATAGCAGGAGCAGGCCATTAGGGAGAGGACAGGGTTTCCCTCCTATCATCTCCTCCTTTATTTCTTCTGTGTCTGCAACTCTGAAGAAGAGACAAAGCAATTGTTCAGCTATACAACCAATTAAGCAAGTCATCTTATGCCCAAACTGTAGCTTCAGAGAGATATCTGGCAAGCATAGGCATGCTGCTCTGCTCTCCATCCTACTATCAAAAAAAAAAGGGAGAAACACATATCCTCTTTTGCTGCATCAGCATAAAATCTACAGTTTTCCTAATGTAGTCAACAAAATTCCACATGTGTAAAATCTGACCAACAGCTGAAGAACTGGTTACCAACCGCACACAGAGGGCATCAGGGCTCACACTGTGACCTTCTCCCATAACCTTGTGGAGAAGCAGACCAGACCATCTGAGAAAATAAAGGTCTGCAACATGTTTAGTGAGGCATCCCTAATTGGTAAAGACTGTATTTTAAACCACTCCGGGAAGTAAAAAGGAATCACTCAATGGCAAAGCTATTTAGACAGTCTAGAGGTTGCCTGTGAGTTAACTAAACCACATTCAGTCAAGCCTGGTTGACAGCTCTAAATGACACAGCAACACATGGGATTACTGTCCACTTACTCAACAGACTTAATGACCAACGGGATCAAAAGTCTGTATGTGTTGGAGAGTAGACTGAAAATGATTGAGAAAATTTCCATATATAATTATTTAATGAAATTCAGTGGAATTTTTGAGCAATCTGGTTTAGTGGAGGGTGTCCCTGCCCATGGCAGGGGGGGTGGAACTTGATGATCTTTAAGATCCTTTCCAACCCAAACCATTCTATGATTCTATGATAGATCAGCAGATCAGCAGTAGTAAAGAGATTTATTAATAGTTAAAGCTAAAATTAAAAAATGTGTGAGGGAAAATCTTATTTCAGTAAACCAGTAAGAGAATGACTGATTTTAATGTGGAGATATTATATGTCACGTTGTTCAGTTTTTCTAAAGCATCAAAACTGGTGTCTCTGTTTATGTTGCTCCATATCTATACTGCATCATTTCAATTAAGAATATACCAGTATTAGTTCCAATATTATTTCTTGTCTTTGTTCCTCTCCACTTGACTTACCGGAATCCCAGGTTCTCCTTTTTGTCCAGGTTCTCCTCTTTCACCCTAACAATAAAGAAAAAGTATTCATATATGTTAGGCATTCCCATTTGCATTTCAATAACTTTTCTACAACACAAAGTGACAAATGTTTATCAAGAGAAAAAACACCACTCTTGTGCTGTTCTTTATTCATACGCTTGTCATATGAAAGGCATGTTTTCATAAGAAGTTTTTAAAGTTGCTTTTAAAAAAAATATTTTATAATTTTTCTGAAAAGGTTTCTAGGAATGTGAACACCTCAGGTTGTTTCCAGGCTTGTTCATGAGATGTCTGGGTCATGAATGCTTGAGCAATGCCTATAAATAAATGCACATTCTCTCATTTTTGCCTACTGGCTGTCTATGAATTGTCTGATCAAAAGTAAGAGCTCCTGTTAGGATTAGAGAAATCACAGCCTAAACTCTGCTCACTATTGACGATATCCTCATTGAATATAAAGGCTTTCCAGATAAGCAGCTTGTATGCAGACATCTCTGCTTAGTCACGGAAATCCCAACATATATGTTACTTAATGCAGACTACAGACTGTAAAAGGCATTTTTAGATCTTTCTGTATCATATCAGTTTATTTGTCTTACTGCAGAAATTGCATGAGCTACGTGAACTTTGTAACATCAAATCTGGGATGAAAAACTACTGGTCTGGAAGTTGGCGTCTGATACAGAATATACACATACAGGGTATGAGTACCTCTGCTCCCAGCAAGAAGCAATAGATGAGAATAAACTGCATCTTGCTGCTGAGGATTTCTCCAATATGTATGAACAAGCCTTAATTGCAAGTATACAATTACCTGCACCATGTAGATAAGTTATATAAACAAACACAATAATTCAGATAGCTTCCGTAAAGACATGCTTCTCCTACGGGAAGAAAATTTCACTCACTATTATGAAAAATAAGAAATGGAATGATTTCTCAGCAGGTATTTCTGCTTGTAAAATTAGAAGATGTGAGTGATGGCCAGTAGCTGCATACTTAAACAAAAAGAACAAGTTTGCCTAAGGCACCTCTAGTCTGTGAGAAGTGCTTTCTAAATGACTTTAGCTACCATACTTTCAAGAAATACTTCATGATCCAAGCTATAGGTAAGTAGCAGATTTCTCATTTGATATACTAAAGGCTTCTAGGTACTATATGTAAAAGCACATTTGTACAATATTTTAGTTTTGATACTGCAGAGCTCTTAGTTCCTTGTGTATTTTGGCAAAATACCCTGTAGTTACCTTGTGTTTGTCAGAGGGGACACCCAGCAGTTCTCTTGTAGGAAGCCCAGGTGGACCTGGAGGACCTGGAGGGCCCTGGAGGAAAAGCAGAAGGGTACATTTACTAAAAGTTATAATACCTTGTCAAGCTGTTCATCAGCACAGAGTCTAAGAAACGGCAACAAAAGGAGCAATGCAGATTTGCCCCTGCTAGGAGTATGGTTCTAAACCTCTGAATAAATGATAGCAAAACGAATCTATTTTGTGCTGGGATTAGCATATTAACATACTTGATCTTGCCATGTATGTTTCCAGAATGACGGTAAAGATTACTCCTTTATATAAAGTGGTCTGGCTCTATAAATTTCAGAAGCGTTCCCTCTAGACATTTAGAAGTTAGTTCAGCTATGACATTCCTTATGGAGATTATCATTACTTTCAAAGCTACACTTGTTTGTTTTTCTCTCATAAATGCATAATACAATTGTAAATTAAGAGAATATTTAAAATAGGTTCCTCTACAAATCACAAATAACACCCATCTGTCCTTTAGTAGTGATATTAATTCATTAGTTTTCCTTTACCTGTTCACCTTTTTCGCCATAGAAGCCAAGACCCCTGTTGCCCTGCAAAAAACAATAGGTCAAGATTTACTAAGCGTACCACTCAGTTTTCTAATGTAAAATTCAAATTTAAACAAGCTTAAAGGCCTTTTCAGGCTTACAAGTCTGTAGGATACCACTGAAGAACTGCCATCAAGTAATAGTCTATGTTCACCTCAAAGTATTTTTATAGATCTAAAAGTATTTTTATAGACCTAACCATTCAGAAAGACAACTCTAATTAAAATCTCATGCTACCAGTGCTTCTTCAACAAACTTTGAGTCATTCACTGAGTAATGTCGTGAAAAGATCCAGCATTTCTTTTGCAAGCTTTTAATAGCACTGAATGTTAAATAAAAACACCTAAATGTACTGGAACAATGAACTCATATATTTTTTCTGCTAAGATATAATTGAATATTGTAAAAACTGCAAGGATTGTCTGATCACGGGAAGCTACTGTGACTACAGAAGCAAATTAAATATGGCTCTAGAACTGGTTTAATCTTTTCAGGGTAGGCGATCCCAGTGTAAGATTAACTTCTTGTGTATGCAGCCAACACAGAAGGTCTTGTGCTACACAGCATTTGGTGCAGCCTGTGGTTCTTTATTTTACTGCCTTCAAGTGGGTCTTGGATAAACCTCAGTGACACAAAACCAACATAAACAACTCTGACACAAAGACTTACTTGTGGTCCTGGTGGCCCTGGGGGCCCTGGTGGTCCCTGGAGAAATACAATAGGTGAGAGCAAGTTACTTGTTGCTCCTAATCAATGTATGCAGAAGGCCAGTTACTTTACAACTGAAATATAAGTATATATTTAAAAGGCAGAGTATTCCTCAGCATTCAATGTGCTATCCTCACTATATTAGCTGTGTTTACTGCTCTGAAAAATACCCTCTTAAGTCACATTGGATTCTTTTCTAACAGAACAACAGTCTCCCAGCTTAGACCTAATGAAATCCCATTTTTTTTTCAAGTAATAAGAACTTGTGCTTTTGGATCCTGACTTAGTAACATTTTAAGCTCATAGTTAAGCATGTCTTTAAGAGCTTCACTGGATTGGTGTCTTGGTACTGCATCCATCTGTACAGGGAGCTGAACTACAATATGCATCTCAGACTACCTACTTGGTATTGTACAGAATGAAATCAAAGGAAGATGGTGAGAAATGAAACTATAACATCTATAACATGAAAAAATGCTGCCAGAGCAGCAAGAAGAGCAGTAGGAACGCCATCACGTGGAGAGACAACCGGCCTTGCTTCTGTCAGCTATGGTAGTTAACAGGCTCCAAAGGGCTCTACACATTAAAAGCTGTCAAATGCAGGAAAGGTGGGGTGAAAAAGAAGCATGAGATGTTCAGAGAGGAAGATGGTGAATAAGAGGCATAGAAAAGAGAGTGAGCTGCAGATCGAACCATCCACATTCCCAAAGGGGATGTAACTAGGTTATGCAAAATCAAGCCCAACTTGCATGGAAAATGTAACGACATTCAGGTGGGACCTGAACTTGCTAAGTGATTCTGCCTTGCTATGTATCTTTGTGTACATCAGCAATTGACTTCTTCTGAAAAAATTACTTTTGAATCACTTTTGGCAAGTCAAGTAATCTGTGAGTCCTTGCCTAATCTGCTGGGCAGATGCACTGCGCAGGCCATCCCATGTCCTGTAAGCCCTACAGGGACTTAGGGGAGCCACGCTTGTCTTCATGTGGGATCTAGCACTTAGGGAAGAGGAATGATACAAACTTAGACCTGGGAAATGCTCCCAGGTCTCTCTTGCAGATGAGCCACTGCTTTAGAAATGGTAAATATAGTTGGATATATTTTGTTAAGAGCTGGAGATGGTGGGGATCCATCTGCTCTGGAAGAGTGTTCAGAAGATATGTTGCTAAGATGGCAATCAGAGGGATGTAGTCACGGGGCTCAGAAAATATATGGTTCATAGCACTCCTAACATCCAAGAGAGTGCACTGGGAATATGAGTCATTGCAGGCTGGGCTCCTGTGTGAAGGTCATCAACTTCGTGGCTTCGCTCTAGAGAAAGAGCAAGTAAAGGACTGAGGAGCTTTCCCTTCAGAAGGGCTGGAGGAAAAAGACAAGGTGCAGCTTACTCCAGATGATAAAACACGCCACTGCAGAAAATTAACTTTGGAAAGGCCTAGTGTGCTGTGGATTTAGTCCCAGAATTATTTTGTGTGTAGGGTGGGGTCTGGGGGCAGGGGGGAGTGTCCCTGTGGAGGCTGTGTGTAGGAAGACCTGAATTAATTTTTCTCCCCTCAATTCAGTGATGTAGAACAGGTCTGAAGTGAAATTTGACAAAATAAACAAACAAACAAACAAAAAACCCCAAAATGCTATAAAGTCTTACAAGAAATAAAGCAAGACTAAAGAAAACAAAATATATTGAATCTGAACATTTGCTTCTCACACACAAAACCATTAACCATGGTAATAAGAAACGTAGAAAACAGCATCTGGAGAAAACACAATCTTCCCAAAGAACTATGCAGTAACACTTGTCAACGTCAATGCTGTAGATGTTGATTTTGGAAAAATGACTGAAAAATAGTTTAAAAATAAAATTGCATTCTAAATACTAATGAAGAATGTTATCTACTCAGTCTCCTGTGGGAAGTGTGGAGAGCTAATATACATACCCTTTAGGAGCAGAAAAGATAACACATTAAGGACCTGATACTTTTGATAACTCAGCATTGAATAATGTTTACAAAGAAGACTCTTTCAAGGATGTTAAAGAAATACAGTATAAATCAAAGCCTCAGGCAATACAGGGTGAAAAAAAGTATACCTCTTTTTTCAATATTCCTTGTAGAATCAGTGTCTCATACTGCTTTTTAAAAGGTTTTGCATCCAAGGACACCTATTTGCTATTTCTAACCCCTTTTTTCTATCCATTTGCTAGGTTGCAATCCAACACAGTTGAATTTGCCGAGATGATTCTTCTGTTAGATTAATTTCCTACAGAACATATTTTAAACATACTTACTGGTCTTCCTCGCTCTCCTCTTGGACCAACAGGTCCTTGAATACCCAGTGTACCCGGAGGTCCCTTTAAATAAAAAAGAAAAACCCAACCATCAATTAGTGTTGTTCTGACAGCAGTTACTATTGACACCTTATCACATTCACTGTAATACTACTTACTTGAAAACCATTGAACCCTGGATCTCCAGGTTCCCCCTAAAAAAACCAAAAAAGTAAAAAATGCAATAAATGCTACACACAAAATTGAATAAAATCTTTTTCTCACTCATTAATTTTTTTCTCACTTCAAAAACTAATCATAGCATACAATGCTATACAAACCCTTACATACAGATGCATTCAGTACAGGTGTTGAGATAAGTGAATGTGGGCTACATGGATTTTCTACTTTCTGTATATAGTATAGTTGCATTCAATACAGTAGGAGGGTACAAAGTTGGCTAGGGAAGTTAAGGATCCAAACTACAAGGCTGAAATGGACAACAGACCATGTTTAATTATTTTTTGAAAAATCTCATCTAACCAGTGGCTTAATTAGGGCTATAACCTCAGATGAAATGTACAAGATCATTTTTTATTAGTGGCATGGGAATTACAAAATCATTTTGATTCTCTTCTGAGTCACTAAAAGCATTTGGAACATACTGTTTTCAGTGACCGCATATTTTAACTGCAGTACATGTTGAAATGTTTTTGGAAATTGGATCCAAAAATGTTCTAGTGAAAAGACCTTCCAATACCCATAAATAATGTGGTATTCAGTCCAGACACCTTTAATCATTTTGAATAGCATCCTAACTATCTAGTTTATTTGATTTTAGTTAACAGAATAATTTGTGGAACCAAGTACTTCCTGAAATCAATACAGGTGTCAGTATCCATCCTTGGCCACAATATACTTGAGCAATTCTTAATCATTCCTAATTACTAACAAATGCAGATTTAAAGAGTTTCTGAAAGGAAAAGAAGATTCCATTAAAAAACACAGGCAACTTACAAGCAAGTCAACAGAAAAACCCATTTTGGCACTCATCACCGTCACAAAATATACATAATGTCAGAAGATCCCTTCTATTTTGAGTACAGTGCAGATGTAGCTTTGTACATAGATTTGCCACAATTTATTCTCTGACAGCATATGTAACCCCTTTATGTGATACCTTCAAATTATACAAGACTATTTATATGAGAAGAAAGTTACAAGTGATTACAAAACAAGTTTCAAGGATTAGATGCAGTAAAAGCACCCATAGCACCCTAAAACCCAGGGTTTACTAAATAACTAAATAATGTATTGAAGCATATTTTATCCCAAGTCAACCAAACTCCTGCATGAAAAGTATAAAGAAAGGATGCTAATATTAAATAAAATAATTCAATGGACAAAACTATGGCAAAGGAATGATTTTGCCATGCATGATACAAAGGTAGTCATTGCATTAAGAGGGTAATACTTGAACTACATCATCTCCAGTGCCTCTGCAATTCACCTGTAGGCTGGAATTCCTTGCAAATAACTGAGTGGAGATTTTTTTTCCCTGGATATCAGAGAGACTTTGCTGTAACCAGAGAAAGCAGAAGCTGCCTTGCAAAGCCTACACAGAATCAAAGTGGGCCTCTTGGGACGTCTCCGTCAGAGTATAAGAACAACTAACTCTCCATCATCTGATTCTAAAACAATACTGAGCATGAATAACCCACAGGAGTTAGAGACCTACCCTGTACCGGCTTGCGATGTCCGGTGGCAGTATATAAGGCTCCCCCTTCTGGCCCTTTGGCCCTTGGACTCCCTGGAAGTGACCAAGAAAATAATACAAGTAAGCTTTGATATCATATCTGTTAACACATACACAGCTATAAGTAATAAAAAATATTTGTTGGGGTTCCATGAGTATATACATACTGCTGTTTAGAGGCAGAGCTCTGGAAAATCATGGTTTAAAAAGAAAGTGCAAACCCTCATAGTACATTGCCTGGGAGTGGTATTACAGGGTTGCACCTCAGAACTAGAGCAGCAGCTGCAGCTCCCCAGGGCTGACATGTGCCCTGGTAAATCCAGGAGCCCCACTGCTCACCTCAGCATGATCCCACCTATCGTGCAATGGAAAGCCAATACTTTGGCCATGAAGCAGGGAAGGAAAAGGTTACTTTCATCAGGAATTGAGAGTTTAATCTTCTTTTATCACTGTTGGATAAAGCTGTACAGGTTTTCCTGAAGTAATCTCCCCACATGACCTACGTGGCATGTATAGCTCTGGGCAGACCATCTAGCCCTGGCTGCAATTTAATAACAGTGCATGGTGCACTGTATCCATGGCAAGTCCGCATGGACACGCTGCTGGGCCAAAAGGGAGGAGCTCCATTAAGAGATGTCCCATTCACTTCCAACACACACATGAATGAAACTTGCTTCAGTAATGATCTTAGCTTCAGGTACTCACTTACTGTCAGCTACTTACAATGGTACCAGGGAAACCAGAGAGTCCGGGAATTCCTGAGTCACCAGGGTCACCTACTGTCCCATTACAGCCATCATGACCCGGTTTCCCCCTTGATCCTGGCTGCCCTGGATGACCCTGTTGAGGAAAAAAAAAAAAGTGTTTATCTATCCATCTGTTTCTAGTTTTCCTTTTCCTGCAGTCACATAGTATTTAGACATTCTCACATTAAGCCCAAGGCTTGGATCCATGGGAAACTGTGATTTTCAAAGACAGAAACAGACAGTGCCTTTTTTTAATATAGCTGCAGCTTGAACCAGATGCCCCAGACAGCATGAAAAAATGAGCAGTGAAGGGCCTTTCAGAAAGGGTAGGAAAGCTATGTTCAATGCAGGCTCTGTCAAGCAGACAACTAACTAAGCCAGATGAGGCGGCTGTGCAGGAGCCACCGAGAACTGGGATTTTTAAGCATTGTAGCATTAACACTGGAAGAGTGGGAAGAAGGGTTCCTCGCTGGCTTTGAACAGCTTTCAAGCTGAGAAAAAAGTCAGAGATGCTTTTGGAGCTAGGTTGGGTGTTATGATGAGGCTGTAAGTATTGAAGAAAACAGAAGGGCTCAAAGCAAGGGAACCAGAGGCACTGCAGAACCTCCACACAGAGCCTCTGAAAAGTTACTTGCATCTCAAACTGAATTTCCATTTCTGTACCTGCATTCACCTTAATTGCTGTTGCTTCTGGTTCACACTGAGGCCGATGAGAAGCAAATCTAAACTTGAGCAGCTCTTTCTTCCAGGGGGACTCAGTCAGAAAAACCAGAAACTAACATAAAACATTTATCCCTTCTCCTCTACCTAGAGCAAGAGTCTTCTCTTTGTTTCTGCCCCCTTACTTAGAAGAAAATTAAATCTGTCCACATCCTTACTCCATCAAATACTGGCATTCTTCACCCCAGAAGAGATTCAGGCTTGCCACCGTCCTCTCTTGGCCTCCAGCCCCACATCCTAGCGCTATGCCATCACAGTTCATACATGTGCCTATCTGTCTGCCTTCTGATGGTCAGTGTTAAGCCTCAGCCCAAGAAAATTGCTTAGAGAGTGTACCGAGTGGGAAGGGCAAGGGAGCTTGAGGACAGGACATAACGACCATGAAGGTTCAAGTACTGTCCTGAGGTTTTTATCCCTCACAATGCAATGTGCAGAGGTCAGGAAGGCAGGGCTAGAAAAGAAAACTTGCTCAGGTAAGAGAAGCGGTCCAGTTATAACAACATGGAGGTTCACAGGGGAGTGATTTACTCTCCTTCCCAGGAAGTTAGAGGACTTAGAAAAAAACAGTATGATGTGGTGAGATGAGCAAAATCTTTGGCTTCAGGAGTGTTAATAGGAATGGGAAAGTGGGTCTTCTGCTTTTCCTTTAAGAGTGAGAAAGAAGGAGAGGAGGAAGAGTGTGAGAGAGAAAGCCCTGAAACTCGATAGGGAGTTCTTTTGGAAACAAAAAAGGGTGAAAGCAGAGTGGATGTGGATGCGTGGGCTGCAGAGCAGGGCCCCGGTGTCAGGGAGCACTACAAAGGAAACCCAAGCCTGGGAACTCTGTCCAGGGATTCCAGTGACTCAGATTTCTTTGTTATTTTATGACACAAGATGTAAAGAAGTGTAAGCTGGGAAAATACTGTGCTGTGAACTTTACCCGGTTTTCTTCTTTGAATGTTTCAGCTTCATGGACCTGGTCAATTTGTTCAAAGTTTGACACTGTTCAGTGTTCAGTAAGTTTTTAAAGACAATCTCAAGCATGCCATATGAGTTATAAAGGAAATAACAATGGTTAGTATTCTTAAAACCATTAGTCTTTGTGCTTTGCAACTCTGAAATAATGAAGGAATGACCCACTGGTGTCCTTCGCTCACAGGGTTTAAGAGATGTGAGGTACTTGTAGCTCTTTCCTACAAAAGAACATACTTAGCTGGGTAACCTTCAGGGACAAAGGAAATCTCTGTCCTTTCTTGTCCCCTTTTACAAGGGGATTTCTCCATAGGACAAAGCAAACAGACCTTAATTATCTGAGGGAAGGAGAAGGAGCACAGATTCTGCTTTATTGTTGTGTATCTGCAGTTCCACTCACTTCAACAAATGTCCTTAGTTTTAACGTGTGTACGTGGCTGATCCAGAATTTAGCCCAGAGATTTTAATTGAAGTACAAAGGCTTTAAACTAGCCTGCAATAGTTGCAGTTGGTGATTTCTTTAAGATGAGGTAACTGGCTACTTCTGCCCCGGGGAATCCAGTGACTCCTCTTTGCCCCTGCAGTGAAACAGCACAATTAAAATTATGTTCTGCCCAGTATTTTGGTCATTAGCTAAAACATCTGATATTCAAAAGTTACCACTTCTCCTTTGGGTCCACTTATTCCTGGATATCCTCTTTCACCTTTGTGACCTTTGGGACCTTGCAGTCCTGGGATACCCATCAATCCTGGTGGTCCAGTGAATCCCTGTGATCCAAGAAGTCCTGGCTGGCCCTGATAAAAAGAATAAAAAAAGCATTTATTTAGGAACAGTCGTGATGCATGAAGCTGGATTAGTTATCGCTGCTGCAATGGAGTCAATCTCTTGAAAAGAAAACAAACACAGAAACTGTTTCTGTTCCAGCAGGCCAGACTCTTTTGATGAACGTCATCTGGAAACACCATGTAGAGAAACTCCAGCAAGAGTGACCACATTGTGTGTGACAAAATCAATACAGAGAAATGAATGCTCGAATCAATATTCACTACTTGAATATTCACTACTACTCTACAAAAAAAGTGCTTTAATTGGTATAAGGCTTCTCAGGAATGATTCTCGCTGCTCTACATCATAACTAATTACACTCTGAGCAAGAACAATATGCGTAACTGTGAAATCTACTTAGTGGCTGTATTTCTTACAAATGGAGCCTGATCTTTAATGGCAGGAATTTCTGCCTCTTTGGGGATGATATTTCTGTTTAACAGTGGAGCCTGAAAATTATTAGATGTGCATGTATCCACGCAGGTTGAAGACTTGCACGCAGGGCTCCTTTGTCATTCTCCCTTCCAGCACTGGTTTGGCTCTGCAGGCCACTTCAAACATTGTTTAAAAATAATTCCCTGTTGACTGCCAGCATCACAAGGCTCAACAGGGAAAAAAATCATTTTGAAATGACACAATGGTGGTTTAAGTAATGGGTTGTGACAGTATGTCTGAGATGTGTGAACCAAAGTACTTGAAAACTGTTCCAGATGTAGTGTCACCAAAGGCACATATGTTTTGCATGCTCTACAGTATTTAGTGCACTAATGACACTAGTAGTGAATCGCTGCAATCTTTTCTGGAAGAATATGCTTCAATGGCGCAAAGCACCATTTACCAAGATGTTCTAATTAAGACAATTCTAATGAAAGTATTTTAAAAATGCAATTAGATTTTTCACAGACCACTCTGCAATAGCATTAATATCTCATGAAGAAAGAATTACAGCAAAACAGGAAGAAACAGATATATATTTATACAAATGAGCTGATAAAAAATAATATCTTATTTTAGTATAAAATACTTACAGTCTTGCCCATGCCTGGAAAGAAAGAGCTAGAAGATGAATGCAATCCCTGTCCAAGAAGGATAATAGGTCAACTTCATTTAATGCCATTGTGGTGGAAGGAGTGAAGGAGGGCAGTGTGGGGACTTGAAGAAATGAACCTGAAGATATCCTAATTTCTTTATCTTCAGAAAATCGTAGGAAAGATACTGGACAATGCCTCATTGATTTTAGGCAAACTTAACTTTATTCTCGTATCAAAGAATAGTCCGTTTGTGACACACTTTCAAAACTTCATTGTCAACCATCCAGCTATAATTAACATTTATCTGTGCTACAGTTGTCTTAATATCACAAACCCAAACACTATGACTGAAACATAGCTTATGTCTAGTTTTAAAAACACACAAATTTTCCATGCAGCTTTTGTGGAAAATTGCTGTCACAACAGTTGGAGTAGGTTTTTGTATTTTAAATCCTATTGTATTATATCAAGTGAGTCCATATTGAGAAGATGACATAGCCAAAAGAAGTACAAAACTCCATGCAATTTATTTTCTTGGAAGAAGACTAGGAATGAGCAAGTATGAAGAATGAATTACATGTAGTTCCTTGGGACAAGCCACCAGGATGAATCTCTTATGGTATAGATCTTTCGCTATACTGTTATGATTAATTTGACAGAACAAATGGTTTAAGAGCAGTGCCAAAGGACACCATGGATTTAAGAGTTTGAGTTGCCAGTGTGAAAGAGAATCTCTCCTGTGCTTACAACCAAGCCCAACTTTATACAGCATCTCTACTTCTAAACCAAGCCTGCTCATGTGGATTATTAAGTGTTAGGAAGCCAACCTCTTTTCCTTTTTCAGGTTAAGAAATTGAAAAGAAACAAAGATTATACGGAAACATATAAAACTAAATGACCTTTAAGGTCCTTTTCAACCCAGGCCATTCTATGACTCTATGATTCTATAATAAGATCCATGTTGGCAGGAGGCATATGCATCTGAACAAGCAGATCTTTCTCCACATCAGAAGCTGTCAGTTTTTAAAAATCAGTGAATCTCTAAAAGTTATCATTTCTTATGCAAATATCAATATAAAATATTTGCATCTTACTATAAAGCCTTAAAACTTAATAAAATACTTAAGCTAGTTTGTTCTTTCCCATACACCCAAATCTGGAAAGGAACCTTTAGAAAGGATGAAAATGAACAGAAAAAATATTCAAATTCAGTTGTAGAGATTTGAGTTGGCTCCAGTTTCAATTTAATTTTGAGATGATCTGAAAATAAATGTTTTGGTTACTTCCCCGTAGAAAAGAAAACATGGATTCTGTACACTGAAAATGCTGCTTCATATCTAAAGTGCCTGAAAGCCAAAAGAAGTCAAATAAATTCCAAAAGCTACTCATTGACCTGAGTTATGCAAACTGTCTCTTTAGTGCCCATCTACACCCTTCTGTAGGCTGGAGGCAGAATGCACATAAAACATTTAATTGTAACTTCTGATAAAAAATGCTGTTTGTGTTCAGAATTGTCAAATCCGCGCCTGGTGTTCTGCAGGGGCCATGCTGAGCTGCAATACTTCAAAGGTGGCATTACATGGAACATGGTTACCTCTCTTAATTCCTACACCAAATATCACTCTCCCACCTCCAGTCCCATTTTCCGATCTGGTGTGGAGGGAGAAGTAAACAAGGAACGGAAAATGAGGAAGAGATCTGGTCAATGCCAGCCCCATGCGTTCCTGGTAATTAGCTGATCATTTGTTTGCTGAGGAATAGGGGTTATTAAATATTATTTGCAATAAAGACAGAGAATTGATCCTTCTGGGACCAGTTTAGCATGAGGCTAGAGTCAGAGCTGGGGGAGTACTTAATATCATGACAATGTTTGTGCAATTCTTCAGCCAGTTAGTACCTTGGCTTGTTAACTGAATTAACTTTGTTAACTTTCATTAGCTCAGACTTGTCAGCTTTTACTCTGCTTTCTTTATGTTGAACAAGTATGCCCCTTTTTCATTAGCAAATGACCTAAGAACATTCTCCCTTTTGCAAAGGTCATTGAGGAGATTTGAGCAAAGACAATCAATTTGAAAGCTTTAGTCAAATAAAGCATGACTCAATTACTAGAGTTCCCAATTCCCCTGTGTGAAACATGCCAGGCATGGTACTGCTCTGCTTCTTCTCCTGGAGGGTCAGAAATCCTAGAAAATTCTCCAAAGCTGTGAAATTGTGTTCAGATTAAATTTCCAGGTAAAAAAAAAAAAAAAAAAAAGGGCAAGCCTAGGGAAACATGCTACTCCTATCTGTAGTATTTTAGACAACTCAGAAAGTACCTCCTCTGGTGTTCCCTTTCCTTAAATGATACAGCAGTTCAGAAACGTGCTCTGGCCCATGGTGCTCTCTGGTAGAAGGCTTCCCATTTTGCTGGGGTGAACTGGAATGCTTCCCAAGTCCAGAGGATGGCATGATTACCCCATGTCACCCACCACTGGGTTGACAAGCCAGCGCTAAGAGGCTTAACAAAACAGGTGTGGCACACTATGGCCAGCACCTCAGACGGACCATGCAAAATGAAAAAGTAGGCTGATGGAATATCTTGAAGACTAACATGAAGTTTTTCCTTTGTTCACATACAGAACTTCCACGGCTGTTCAGATGAGTTACAAAGCTCCCACGTCAGGATACACTCCTGAATAGGCAGTCCCTGCTTCGCTCTTCGTGTGGCTTCAGCTGACTGGAAGAGGTCTCACACAATTCATGTGGTCCACCCAGCCATGTGCAAAAGCTATTTACAGGGAGGAGCAAAGGTCAGAAACTTAGGAATCCTGCAGGAAATCTTCCCAGAAAATATTTGCAATATCGTATATACATTGTCACTTATCCAGTGACGTGCATGAAAGAAAATGCTGTCAAGTTGTGATTGACTTTAATAACTGCATTTTGCAATTAAGTCCCAGTGGACGTAAGATCCTGAACAGACTTTTAAACCAGTACTGAATGTTCAGCTTTTAAACCAGTACTGAATGTTCAGCTTTAATTTTAATTTCCAGTTCCTTTAGGATTGGTCAAATGAAAGAGATGTCATGTTGCAATACTTTCTTCCTTCTAATTTACAGGGTGGAAACAACGCTGGTAGAGGAAGGTGCACTAATTTTGAGAGCGACCAATTGTCTGAGGTGCTATATGAATAAAGAGACAATAAATGACAGTACCTGCTCCAAAGGTTTTAAAATACAAGAACATTATAATGAATTGCTGAGAAACACACATACCAACATGTAGATCAGAAGAAAGAAGTAAAGTGACTAGCAATAAAGAGAAGACAGAATCAGAATTACTGCAGAGTTTCACCGTCATTGAGCTCATTTCTCCACTTCTGTTTTGCAACTGCTTCTGGTATATGGAATGTGATGATTCAGTATTCCTCACACGAAAATGATCCTTGTAGGGTATAATTTATTTAACAGTGGACAAGAAGAAAGGAGGTTAATTCCCTGACATTTTAAAAAGGTCATTGGTGAAAGGACAAGTTCACTTCCTGCAGGAAGGGTGATCTGACCATGACGGACAAGTGGGAGCTGGGACTTTTTGTAAGAGGGCTAAGCCTGGAACAGCTCCTGTAACAACAGATGGGGAAAGGATGTGACAGCAAGGACCTCAATGCAGTCCCACTAGAGTGAGACCATCAAGTGGAACAGAGGGCAACTCACCACGGAACAAAATAGATTATATGGAAAATGAGCAACTTCTGAGCTCATTAAAAGTGCTAACCCAGGAAAAGGCAACCCAGCAGGCACACAGGAAAGAAACAGTAAAGTTTTTAAACATAATGCTGCCAAAATGTGGAGAACAGGGTGTAAACTTAACAGAATCACAGAATGGTTTGGGTTGGAAGGAACCTTAAAGATCACCAAGTTCCAACCTCCCTGCTATGGGCAGGGACACGTCCCACCAGA